ATATATATATAATTTCACACCCAGCAGTGTGGCCAACATTTTAGCCTAACAATAGGAAGTCCTGAGACCCATGTGGTTAAATGGGAAGATTCATGCATTGCTAGTGGAAGGAAAAAAAATATAGACAACGCCTAGTATTCTAGTCCCTGCTGAAAGGGCCATTCTAGTTTTCTCTTGGGAAACACAGGCAGAAGGAAATGCAGAGCTGTTCTGCAGACATCCTTGTTCCTGTGCCCCTGCTCCTTCCCTTTTCTTGGGTTCCCATCCCTGGGTACAAAGGACTGATTCTCTTCTCCCGTCTGCCCTCCTCCAGGTCTGACTACCTTGCCATCCCGTCCGAGAACAAAGAGAGCTCAGCGGTACCAGTGGAGGAATAGAAGGGTGTGCCCGAGGTGATGTGCAGGGAAGGACCGGGGAAGGTGCATCAGAACGGCAGCTTGTACAAGTGACTGTATCCATCCACACCCAAGTGACTTTAAATTTGACCCCTTAGATTTCTACCCTACCCAGAGTCCCCACCCTCAGGGTACTACCCTAAGTTGATGATGCCCAGGTCACAGAGCTTTACGTCAAGCCCTTCAGAAGGTAAATTGCTTTGGCCTGAGTGTTGGAGCAACTTGAACTTCTTTCCCACCATGACAAAAAGTAATACCCCCACTCCCTCCTTTGCAAGGATTGTGGATTTGGTCAGAGTCTTTGGCTGGGCTGGACTGGGCCAGGCTGCAAATTCTCAGTGAGTTGTTTTATCATTGGTAGGTGGTCTGGACACTGAGGGACTGGATATTCCAGGTTCAGTGATATCAACAGCATCAGGAGGATGCCCCAGGGGCCACATCACTTCCCCTCATGCATCCATCCTTCTACTCATTCATGATACAGCTGCTCACGTCTGAACTTTCACCTCTGACTTCCTAACTCCATCAGACCTCTGCACACCCTAAGATGTTGCCAGAACTGAGGAGCCAACATTTCTACACGGACTCAACCTCACCCTGTCCTAGCTTTCAAGCAAGGAGCTCCCATGCCAACTGGACTTCTTCCCTGGGCTCCAAATGACTCTGTACAAATGCGGGAGATGGCACATCGCTCTGTCCCTAACTGGCTGGACTGGCTGCATTCATTGCTGCAAGTGAATGGATGTCTTCATGGAAGGAAGCGGGAATGGCTAATGCGGGTTAAAGCAAGAGTGTCATGAAGTGGGATTCCTCGAAGTCAATTTTTTCAAGTTCCTGGCCCACTTGACTAGAGCATCAGAGCAAAGCATGCCTTTCTAGATTCTTCAGTGATAGAAAGCTTACAAAGCATGGACCAAAATATTCCCGGAACTTGGTACTCTAGGGCTCGATCCGGATAGGTCTCGAAGGCCTCAGTTGGGCTCAGTCCTTCAAGAAGCCAAAGACAGAAGTGGCTCTTAAAAGTCATACAACATGTTCATAACCCTATTAGGGTAAAGAGTGTGTGCCCTCCAAGGGGAGCGCCCACCTGAGATAGCTGGGAAGCATTATTTCCCTGTGGGCACTGGAACAGAAATTCCTAAATTCTTCCTCTCAAAATTCCTGTAGATCAGTATTATTCCTCATTTTACAGGAGGCAACTGGGACTCAGACTGGGCTCAACTGAGTAAGAGACTTCAGAGACTAAACTGGAACATAGTAAGCCTTAGGTGCTGCCCAGTTGAGACTTTCGGAGATGGGATAATTTTGATTTTAAAAAGACCTTGAAACTGAGCTTGGCCATGGCCATGCCTTGTTCACAAGCACAGGGGGTGGACTGCCTGGCTGAAGTTAACTCTGATAGAGTCAGGTAACGAAACTGGCTGAAAGGCCTGGAGTAGGACACGGGGTAGACTGGAAGAATTTCCTCAGTGAAGATGAAAACTCCTCCAGAAGGAGGTTGCATCTGGGAAGAATATTTAAACTAAGAAACGTGCTTTGTAGTCTCAGATGGATGACCGTGAATGAGTGAAGTGATGGGCAGGGCTAGGTGGCTTCCAAATATTTCACCCGTGAATCCATGATGTCTTGCTGTTGGGTTTTTTTATGGATTTTGGGAGAGCAGAGGAACACTGAAAAAATTTTAGTCAGTATCTCATTTCATTTCAGTTGAGTGACTGGTCCAAATGTGATGTCCTTTAGCACCTAGTGAGGAGGAAGGGAAGGCTGCTTTATGGGCTATGAAAGCATGTTGGTGGCAGGGCTCAGGCAGTGAGAGGTCCCTCAGATCTGGGGGAATTTATGAGAGAAAGAGCACACTCCACTGGCTCTGGGCCTCACCCAACAAACTTGTTTTTTTTTTCAACTCTTCCATCCTTGGGGGATCTACTTGAAACAAATCCTTGTTCACATCTTCAAGAGCCCAATTTTACCGAAGAAAATACTTTCAGTAAACTCAAGGCCTTTTTCATCGGTAATTTCCCATACAATTCCTCTGAAATAGGGGACAGAATATAAATCAGTTTTCATCCTTTGTAATTAGGAAGATAGATAGGCACAGATTTCTGTGAGGTCTTCCCAGTCCCATGGCTGGTGGATGGCCAAGCTTACAGCAGAAGTAAGCTACTTACTATGAGCCCACCCTCCTCTTGCTTCCGGTAGACAATGCATCTAACTCGTAATCAAGTAGTATGCACGATGGCTGCCTTTTCTTTTTTTAAAAAGCCCAACCCAGGTATTTCCTGAGTGCTTTTTATTAATGAGTTCAATGCACCTATCATTTTTTTCCCTTCTTTATCTTTTAAGGAATCTTCTCCACCCTTCTCATCCTTAACCCTGTCATTAGAGCAATCTGGTTTACATAGTGCTTTCGTTTCCGCTACCTTAGTTCTTCTCCACAAGTAGCCCTGTGAGGTGGGTATTACTGATACCCGTGTAACAGATGAGCACACCGAGGCTGTCTGAGGCTAAGCAGCTTTGCCACATCCTACATTCGTACAGCTGGTAAGTGGAGAGCTGGGGTCAGGTCTTCGGACTCCTGGCCCAGTTCCCTTTCCGCTCAGAGCACAGCTGCTTCCTTTCCTCTCATTGTGGAACGTCCATCTCATCTTCACCTCTCTTGCATGTCCTGAGGTGTTGGACATTTCTCACCCTTGACCCCACTCAACAGCTCCTCTGCCACTTTGCTTCTTAGCAGGTGCTTGCGATGTGCTTTGAGACTCTATCTCATTTTGGTTTTCCCTTTCTAGTTCGTTCGCACATCGCTCTTTCTCCTGAATGGCAATTCAACTCCTTCCTGGGAGACTTGATAGGGACTACAAAACTAAGGGTACTGTGATCCCCAACCTGCTTCAAATCCTCCCCATTCTGTTTCTCCCCATATTCCTAGGGGAGCCAGACCAAATGTGCATTGCTCTGGAAATCTCATCTGGCATGTTGCACTTATGAAAGGGCTTAGAAATGTTCTCAAGGGCTATTACTACTTTAGGAACCCCATCTGTTGTCTTGGTGCTGGGTATTTCCCATGACTGATCCCTCAATAACACAATTCACTGAAGGCCAGGCCAGGCTGGGTCTGATTTTTGCTTTCCTACTGCTGTAACAGCCAAAAACTTGATTGCTCAACTCGGTTGGTCCTGGAGACGCCCTGCCCTACTGACCTTTACTGTCAGTTCAGTCTTAGAGCACAGCCCCAACTCCTGCACGTTAATACTCTGACAGTCGGGGCCTGTCCCTACCGCAACCTTTACTTTCAATCTGTTTAAAAGCATTATCCTTTACTTCCTCCATCCCCCAACATCCACACATCCGGATTTCCGATTCTCTGAGTTTCTGCTTTCTCTTTCGATGCCCAACTAGACAGGTTAGTAGGAAAGGAATTTTTCAAAGCAGGAACATGCTGGAGAAACGTGTGCAGCAGAGAATGGTTAAGAGACAGTGGTAGCTCCCGACAAAACTACTAGAACAAAAAGGAAAGTACACCCAACCCAGGATCTGTGAACCTACCTGACATCAGAGGACAGAGGCTGTGTAATTGGCATCTCTGCAGGAAGATGCAAGAGCCAGACACATTTCAGATCTTGGTTCTCCTTTCCCCAGTTAACGCAGAAATGGAAAAACACAACAAACAAAAAAGCCTTCCTCTCCCCTCCTTTTGTACATGGAAGGTTCCCCAACCCAGTGAATTCACCTAGTTCCTGTGATCACCCTCCGATCATCCATCCATTCTGCGTTTCTGCACGCACTCTGTCTCAAGCACCAATCTGGAGCCTCTGCGTGCCCCGTGGCCTTAGGTCTGAAAAATACCATCAGCCAAGTTCTTCCTAATCTCTTAAAAGTCCACCGTGGTAGATAACTCATGTCGAGCTATCTTACTTGAGTTTATTGTAGGACCCAGTAGATAAGCACATGAAGCAAGTCTGAGTTGTGGTAGATCAGACTTCACCCTAGCCTAGGCCAGCTAAGCCTCAAAGCTGCTAATACCCCTTTTCCCCCCTGAATCACCATCCGGCAAGAGCTACATCTGATGGCAGTTTGTGTGATGGGGAGGGGGTCTGCAGAAGCCCGAGTGCTTGTAGATTTGGGGAACACCATCAAACACAATTAGCAAACTCTTGCGGTCTTGTAACTGATGCATCTCTTTGCCACATCATCACCTTCATATTGCCTTTTCTTAATTTTCCATAGCCAATCTTTTTCTGAACTCTAGAAATGTTGTTCCTGATCACCCACGAGCTCCACAACTTAATGCCGGTATGTAGTGTTTTTCAGGAAATACCCTGTTCCTGTCAATAAAGTGTCTCTAAACGCGGCTTGCTCTGTCTGGTTTTGCTCTACTATGTGTATCTGATACGCATACTATGGCTTCTACCTCCCTCCCCAGCCTGCATCAACTCCTGAACTCACCATCAGTGGGTATTTTCCTGGAGAACAAAAAATGCATTTAATAGTCTAGAATTAAACAATACAAATGTGTGATGTAGCCTTCCTTCTCCTCCTTCCCTCCCCAAATCAAAGGAACACAAGAGTCGCCAGTCCTCCCTCCCGCCTGACACCAAGTAAGTTTTCCATCACGTGGTGAGGGGATAACTCCAAGAAAGACCTAATGAGGGGAGGGGGCCAGATTCCCCGACCAGTCTAGGCTAACAAGGAAATAAGGCAAAGCTGTCTCTCAATGTCCATCTTCCTGAAGTGCCAAGGCACAAAAGGGAAAAGTTAAGTAGGACATTGTCATTGGGATTCATAGCATATGATAATATGCTTCTTTAATAATAGTACTGCTTGGAGTTCCTAGGTGCAGCCGGTTGAGCACCCGACTCTTGGTTTTGGCTCCGGTCGTGATCTCAAGGTTGTGAGACTGAGCCCCACACTAGGCTCCATGCTCAGCGTGCAGTCTGCTTGAGATTCTCTCCCTCTCCCTCTGCCCCTCCCGCTCTCTCTCTGATAAATAAATCTTTTAAAAAGTACTGGTTAATAATGAAATAAAAATTATCTTAGTAGAGTAGCAGCCACTATATGAAGAAACACACACACACATTTTGTATATCTCTAAAAAACTGAGGCTTGGAATAATGGATGGGAACCAAGGTCACAAAGCTGATAAATAGTGATGCTGCAATCCGTACTCTGGTCTGATTCTAAAACTTCTTATCCATCTGACTCTATCAGGCGGCCTGCCTTCCTAGGAAAGGGCATCCTAGATGTTGGGCAGATGGCTGGGCATATGTGTATGGGCATGCCCGCCCCCCCCCCCACTCCTTTGGGCCTTGCCCTCATCACATCTGGGAGGACCAAAAACATTTGGGACGATGAGCACTAATGAACTGAGCAATAAGCACACACACCATTTATTATTTGTAGTTCAATACTTTTTTCGTTTAATTCATACTGTACTTCCATGGCTCTAGCTACTTTACATTAAGATTTGGCTGGGAAGCTGTGTACGGTTCTAGGTAATAGCAGTTAAGTTTTCAGACCTTGCGCACAGCGCCAGGCAAAGTACAGTTCTAGATCCAAATACAGATGGCCAGACAACTCGACTGCAATCAACCTGTGTTCTTTCCCATATATGGCCCAGTGCAGGTGTTGGGGACTGCTCCCTCTGCCCGACCCCACTCCACCCCTTGTCAGGATCATCCAGGGGGCACTGGGGCCTCTGACCCATCTCTCCCCATCTTGGAGTCTAGGTTGAGTGTGGGGGCGGCGGGGGGAAGCACCATGGGTTTGGGAAGATGATCTGGTCCATGCAGAGAGTGGTCTGGCCCTAGAGTGCAGGACAGGGAAATGTGGGGAGCCACACTACCGTTGGCAAAAACGGCTGCTTTTGCTACGCAATCTCAGCACGTGGCATCCGAGCCCAGGGCCAACTCCCCAGACAGAGCCAGCTGTCTCTCGCAGGGCAGAGGCCACCATTTTGCTTCTGCAGCATCTCACTGTGTTGAGAGAAGCAAGGAGGCCAAGGGGGCAGAGATGACGGTATTCTTTATGCTTTCACATGTCGGGCAGATCGTCTGGCATCGGCTCCTCTTGGCAGGCAAGGTGCTTCTCGCCAGCAGCCAAGGCTCCAATCCAGGCTCCCAGGCCTGCTGAGGACCTCAAGTCACAACAGAAAACAATGCCCAAGACCCCTGAGCTGTCGCACAGAACACCAAGACAGGGAGCTGGCTGGGCCCGTCACAGCCATGGCTGGAGCACGAGTGAGGTAACGAGGCTGGGCAGAGAGGTGGGAAGGGGCGCTCTCTACACCTTGTGCAAATTCCTGCTCCACATCAGGGAAGCAGGGGCGTTAAAGAGACGGCCTTCCAGAAAAACGCTCCACTCGGACCCAAAACGCATCTTCTGGAAGAAAACATAGAGGTGGAGGGAGTGGGGCCAGCCTGCTGGAGGTTGGGGGATGAGGGTCAAGGATGTCAAGTGGTGGATGGGATGATTGTCCCACAGCCTAGAGACAAGGGGTGAGGGAGGAGAGAGTCAGGAAGACAGGTTCTCGAGTTTCCTACTGGAGTGGGCAGGTGGGGTTCAGGGGTGTGGGGAGGGAGGTCACAGCCCTGCCACCTGGGGGCCCTAGGGAGGAAGGGCTGGCTTTGGCTGCCCTGCAGAGCTAAAGCAGTAGCATAGTATGGCACAGAAAGCATCCTCTGAGACCACAAAAAGTCCAGAAAGATTCTCCCCCTGGTCCTTTCTCCAAGATTTCACCCTAGAGATGCTGCCCGCAAATGATTTTAGACATGGTCCAAGCTTGGATCAGGGACAGGGACACGGAAAGAAGCCACTTCTAGCAAAGCATTCTTCTTGAGGTTTCTTGATCCCTCTCCCCCTTCCTATAATCCCAGGTTCTTAGGGTCAGTGCTCTAAGGCAACCCAAGGATTTTAGCCAAAGCTTCACAATCCAAACCCCAACAAGGTTTGAACTGGGTCAAAAGAGAAGCGCTAGGGCCTGCAATGACTTCTCTCCAGTGTCTCTTCTAGCAAGGAGGAGGGAGGATGGACAGATGAAAGGCTTCATAGCCTAGAGACAAAAGATGAGCTTAATCCAAGACGGTGCCCTTCTTGCCATTATCCTCCTCCTGGCTTAGAGAAAGTCCCTTCCCAAACTAAGACTAGGCCAACAAAGGAAGAAACACCCTCCTAGGTTAATACTGGGAAATACAGCATGCCTGCTCTCCCTCTCCCTACTTACTAGGCCTCCCTATCCTGCTGGCTCATAAAGAAGAAAGTGTAACTATCCTGGATTTCCCAGGAACCCTGATGCTGCCCCCCACTACTCATCGCAACACCAGAGAAGCTCTAGCCCAGAAGGCTTCTTCTCTTCTGGCAGAGTACCTTCCAAGTTTGAGAAAGCCCTACCTTGCCAGTCTCTGACCCAAGACAATGCCCGTGCTGAAACCTATCTTACAGATGGTCCAGCTCATCCCCCTTCCTGGGAGCTTGCCTTACAAATGAGGATACTGCAGTTCAGGGAGGGGAAGTGACTTGTCCAAAAGCAGAGCCAGGACTCAGGCCCAGGTCTCCTAACTCAGCCCAGTGCTCTGAGAGCTTCAAAAGTTGCTGATCTTGCTGCCCTTGTCCCAGGGAGGTGAATGGGGAAGAGAGGAGTTGCAGACATGAGTGGGTCCTCCAAGGCCAATTTTGTTAATTCCTTCCAGGAAGGTGGAGTGGAAGTATAGACCCTCTAGCTCTTCTCCACCTGGTTAGAACTCTGCAGGGCAGCCAAAGCCAGCCCTTCCTCCCTAGGGCCCCCAGATGCCAGAGAGTGCAAGCTCTCAAATGTGACCCCAGGAATCCTTGCAGAAAGATTCCCACGTGACCAGAGTCCTTACACGAACAAAAACAGGCTGAAAGAAAGAAAGGGTATGGTTCTGATGCTCCCAGGAACAGCAGCTACAAGCGAAGCTGCTGGGCTTCAGTTTCAATGTTATTTATCAGTTTCACTCCCAGACTTATCTGCAAGGGTGAGTTAGCCTTTGACAGGCTATTGAATGCGGGGTGGGCGGGGGAAGCTTTTGTTTGGGAGTGAATAGAGGTGTTGGGCCTTCTGCTTTGAAAGCTTAAAATATTACTCGAACAGAAAGTGCCACAAGAGATCCATGATTCTTAGGAATGAGGCAGGCTGAGGTGTGTACGCACTGTCTCTGGAGTTCAAACCCCCAGGGTTCCTCGGACATACTAAGCACCTCCCTCCCTGTCACCTACTCCTCCCTGGAATGGCTGAAGAGGTTTTAAAGCAAAAGCAGAACAGCTCTGTGCAGCCAAGCCCACTCACATCACTTTACTCCCCGCAGAGAACCCGTTGGAAGTATCCCCAAAGGTCCCACCACGGGACCATCAACAACTGGATGATTTAAATAAATATTTAATTATGTATGGAATAAATGAGAGAACTTATCACTTTTGCTTTCAAAAGTTTCTGAGAATAATTTTGGCTTCTGGCTCCTACAGCAGGAAAATTTCTAGCAGTCTGCACTGTTCCTCTTTCTTTGGCCCGAGGCCCACGAGTCCTGACCATCACCAGAGTGTCTCCTTGTCACAGTCCTGGACAAGAATGAGTAGTGACCCACTAACCTGTGGGCATATGCACCCTGCACCGGGATCACAGTCAACTCCAGCCCTCGCATCTCCTTTCCTAGGGAAGGGATACCCATTCTAGCTGATTCCATGGAGGCTTCTCAGCCTACTCCCCTATGGCATGTATCCTTTGTCTTCTCATCCTGCCCTTAGGTTAATAATGAGGTTGTATTCTCAGACGGAGAAGTCAAAAAACGTGTCTTTAATTGCCAAAGGGGGATGCTCAGGCCATTCCAACAGAAGAACACGACTTGCTTTTCTTTGAGGCTAGGTCAGCGATAAAACCTTCCTTTCCTTCAGCCCCTTACAAGAGGTCCCCTAGGAGAACAAGCAATCTGGAAGAGTTTTCCTGGCCAAACTAGTATGTATGATCCTTTCCCTACTGAGGATCTGTGAGGCTGGCAGGATTCCTCTGATCATTAGATGGAGGAATAGCAGTTAAGTGAATGAAAAATGGTAATCGGGCCCAGAAGGGCCCTGCGAGGTCAGATAAAATGCATGGGTCCTAGTGAGCCAACTCCAAAATGGTCCTGGATGACTCACTTTCCTAACCAAAGGTCTTCCTTCTCCTCCTTAGTGGTCTCCTACCTCTCTGGGGCCAGAGGCTAGAGGAGGCTTTGCACCCTTTGCCAGAACTCCCACTCCCAAGTCTGAGGAACAGGATTTGGAATGGCCTCCACATGAGGCAGAGACTCACTCTGGCCTTTTCCTGCACAAATGCAATGCACCTTGCCAAATGCATTCCTTCCAAAAGCCTAGGTCTTCTACCATGTGCCGAGTGTCTTCATTGTCTCCCTCACCAAGGTCAGTTCTTCCCTTAGAGTAAACGATGCTGGCAGCCAAGTGAGTGCTTGGATATCGGTACTCACTACTCACACCATGTTCTGTGTGAACCTATGATCTGATCCATACAATGCTAGGGCACTCACTCCCCCCAACCCCAGATGTCCCTAGGACATCCTGATTAGTCCCAGAAATCAAACTGACAGCTCAAAGTGAAGGAATTAGAGCCACAGGCCCGACTGGCTCATAACCACTTAAAAAGGGGTTTAACAAGATCCAAAATGCTCCATCCTGGCTAATAAACAATGTGCTCTTAGGGCACAGAGAAAAAATAGGGCTTTAGGCACTAAAAAGTGACACTTCACCCAGATCCAGCCCGGGAGAAGACCAGAGAGAAGGGCGGGGGGTGGTGGGAAAGTAAGAAATTCCCAGCCCTTATTGGGTCCACACCCTACAGGAGTTAGGGGAAGGTGCAGGGGTGATGGAGGAGAACCCCACTCCACATGCACGTCCTCGGGAGCCTGCGGCTCAAGGCCCAATCCCACAGGGGCAGCCTTCCCAGCCTTCCAGCCCTCCGCCTGACTGGGGGCTCGTGGTCCATAGAAAGCAGGGGGTTGGAGGGTTGGGTGGGGCTCAGGTGGCAGAGTTTAGATTGGGCTCTTGCCCTTGATGCTTCCTGTTCACAAGAGAATACCTGGGGAAGCGTGGGGTAGGGAAGAAAAGATTCTCTTTTATTTTGGAAACAAATCAAGAGGGGATTCGGGAATGAAGCACCTTAAACCCCTCGAGACTTCGAGACCCCAGGGTCTTCACAGGCATCACTTTGGCTCAACATTTCCCTTCTCAGAGCCAGGAACGGCCAGCGAGGGGAAGGGTGGGGACGAGGGGGGGGTAGGGGGGAGGAGGAGGATCAGGGGAGGTTGGTGCTGAGAGGTGGTCCCTGCCCTCCTCGGCCCCTCCGCCGGCCAGCATAGGAGGTGGGCCCGCTCCTTCTCCCTGGTACATAGGCATTATCTCTTTTTAAAATCTGTATATAATATATATATATTTATATTCTGTATATATATATATTTATATATATCTATGTATATGGTCTATGTACACGTATTGCACGGGCCTCTCGTAACCACCCCGTTCCTGCCTTGTCAGTGATAACGACTCCTCTTCTCTTCACTTTCTGAAGTGTAGTCGCGGGACCTGATGCCATTCTGAAGGTTGATGAGAGAGTCCTTCATCTGTAAGACAGGGAAGCCCGCCCAGTCCCGGGTTTGTGCCCTCAGTGCGATGCTCCGCCTTGCCCACCCAGGGCAGCTCCCCCAGCACGCCAGCGAGGTCAAGGAAGCCGGGCTCCTAAGACAAGGGTTCTCCTAGGACGCGGTCTCCGGCAGAAACGGAAGAGCCAAGTTAGCACTGGGAACCCCTGGGGGGAGGTTCACTGTGTCTTCATGATTAAGGATTAAGAATTCTCTCTCTTGGGGCTCCTGGGTGGCTCAGTCGGTTAGGCGTCTGCCTTCGGCTCAGGTCATGATCCCAGGGTCCTGGGATCGAGCCCCTGCTCAGCGGGGAGTCTGCTTCTCCCTCTCCTGCTCCCCCTGCTTGTGCACTCTCTCTCTCTAATAAACAAATAAAAAATCTTTAAAAAAAAAATAAAGGGAATGAAACAAAACACCTATCCACACCTACCCTAATGCTTACAGAGTTGAGTCCACCACGCTATAATTCTGACCGCCCCGCGCTCCAATGTAAGGGACCCCATCTTGACACCGAATTCTGGAGTTGGAAGAGAACCGGGTCATCCAGGCCAACTGCCTCCTACTTAATTCATAAGTTTCTTATCTGACATCATCTGGTCACCCCTTGGGCACTTTCGCTGATACAATCTCAGGCCTTCAAAGTAGCCCATTCCATTACTGGATAGCTTGATTGTCAGTGGTCTGTTTTTATTTGATGACTCATCAAAGCTCCCCCGTTCCCTGTAACTTCTAGCCCCTGGGGTCTCACGAGCAATCTATCTATCCTTCTACCTGTTGGACCTCTATGTCTGAAGACTACCCTGTTTTCCTCGCCCCCATCTTTCTTTCTCCTTACTGTATCTTTAATTCTATCAACTCTTCTTGATATCGCAGGGATCCTAAGCCCCCTGCTGGGCCATTTACTCCTTTTGTTTAAAAAAAAAAAAAAATCCATGGCTCCAAAGCTAAACATGATATTCTAAAACACATTCAACTGGATCCTGATAGCCACATTAAAATCCTCTCTCCTCAATTTAGAGCTAAGACCATGCTACGAAGGGGAAATAAGATTTAGTATTAACGAATGCCTCCCCTGTGTCCTCAAATCCTGACAGCAATTTCGTGAAGTTACAATTATTTTACAAATGAAGAAACTGTGAAGTCACTCATATTAAATCCCTTGCTCAAGGTCACAAAACTAGTCCTTGGCAAGACTGGGACTCCATCTCAAGTCTGGCTGACCACGCAACATAAAGAACTCCTTAGGAACAGAAAATTTTAATGGAACAGGACAAATCCTTTGTCTCCTATCTTCTTAATTCTCTTGTAGAGCAAAGGTAGCTTCTTGCTGTCTTGGCAACCACGTGGGAGTTTTGTATAAGACGTTAACTTCTGGGTGGAGAAAGCGAAGCTCCTCCCTCCTTTGATAAAACTAAACTCACTGATTTTGCTCCAGGATCATTTTCTTAAATAGATGAATGAATGTAGTTTTTGGAAGGAACACAGGCCCTTGTACTAGAAGATGTTACGAAAAGATGACCCAGTATAACCACCATCTTCCCAGACTATCCGTGCAGCCTCTGAGGAAGAAGGACGTGTTGGGGGTTGTGTGTTGGTCTGTGTGTGTGTTGAGGTCAGGGGGAGGTGGTGGCATACAGCAAAAGGAACTAGAAAAATATGCCCTCTGGAAAGATAAATCTCTGTGAAAGGAGGTTCTCTCTTTAAATGCTTGTCAGATGGCCATGAGTGACCAAGGCAAGGAAAAAAATCAGTCTTTCCAACTAACCTACAGCTTTCTTGCCACCAATTTCCATTGTTATTGTCTGGGGGAGTACACCTGTGTTTCCAACAACCCATTCCAGGATGACTTTAAAATCAGAACAGTGGATGGCCCAGGGGAAGAATGAATGGGAGGCTGAGGTCCGGTGGGTGGTGATGGGGATGGGGATGGGGAGATCTCTCCCAGAGCACAGGGAAGGAGCTCATCTCCAGAAGATGAGGGCAAGGAGAGAAGGTGGGGACATCTCACCTGGTCAAGAAGCATCACTGAGGATTTGATGATCTCCCTCCATTTTTGGAGCTCTGTATCGTGGTACTTTTGTTGGGACTCCAAGAGCTGGGCCCATTCTGTCTGAGACTGGGGTAACCTGTGGGGCAGAAGAAGGGGTATCCCGGCAGCTGGAGTTATGCTCACTGGACTGTCCTGTGCTCCCAGACCCCTGAAGGACAGAGAGTCACATCAGACTGCTTTGTCCTCTGCTCAGTGCCCCCGGTTCCCCTGTGCCCCAGGTCAGAAGCAGACTAAAGCTATAGGGACAGTTTTCAGAGCTTGCCTATGGACTCATCCCAAAGGGTTACCCACTGGCCAAGGGCAGCGGGGCCGTCCCACGGAGACTGGGTGGCAGGAGCTGGGGCACGGTACCGGGTGGGGTGGAGGTGGTGGCCAAGGGAAGAGGCAAGGATTACCTTTCTTGGAGCCTCAGACCCTGCCAGGCAGTGAGGGTCTGGGTGGTGTATTCCAACATCCAGAGTTTGTAGAAGAGCATCATGTTAAGGATGACCAGCAGCACCAGACTGGGAACGAGACAAAGGGGGACAAAAGCAACAGGCATGAGATGTAATCTTGAGAATGCACACTCCCCCTGAGAGCCAGGGATCACCCCCCACCCTCCCAGAGGCAGCTGCTGTCCTTGACCATTGGTCCCCTGAAGCATGGCGGTGAGGGAGGGAGGAGGAAGGATGCAGCTGGGGGGAGAGGGAGAGGGAGAGTGAGCGGGCGCTTTCATCTGGAGGGGCCAGGACACAGCAGGAGCACCACTGAGAGGCGTGTGGGTGAAGGCACTGGGAAAGAGAGACACACAGGAGCCACCCAGACCCTGGGTGCTTGGGGGAAGAGGTAAGATGGAGAGGGAAAGAGATGAAGGGTAAGTGAAGCAATCAGAGAGCCAGTACCTGAAACAGATCCTAATGGGAGCGAGGAGGAAAAATGGGGAGGAGGCAGAGGTTAGAAGAGACCAGTGCGGGGATGGGGAGGGCTGCACTGGAACCAAGCCAGAGAACAAGTGAGTCTGCGGGAAAGAAACACAGGAAGCGAGGACAAGTGGACAAGGAGGCCCAGCAAGCAAGGAGCAAGAGACAGAGGCTGAAGACAGATCTTAGTATGTCAAGGGTGACACCTGGAGGCAAGTCCTCCTACCCAGCCAACCTAAGGCACGACAGAAGGGCAAAGCTGTGGGCTATCGGCCTGATCCGCCCGACAGGTGTTAGCAGGATGCCCTAAAGCACGGTCTCATCCTTGCACCTGCCTTGCACCTGCCCAGACCCTCAGGGGTCATGAGGGTCCCCGGTCTGGACCAGCACTGGTCAGAGCCAGGGAGGGGGTAAGGAGGACCCAGGGGTACAGAGAGCTGCCAAGACAAAAGGGACATTCCCTTCTCTTGGCCTCAGTGGCTGCCAGAAGATCATCTTAGGACACAAGTTCATGGAGCAGAGAGATGAAGACCAGGGGAGCAAGGGGATCTCGAGACGCACGGGACTGGGTACAGTCCTGGCTCACTGCTTCAGGGTTCTTAACTTCTGATGAAGTTCCCCAGCTTCTCTGAAACCTCTTCTTAACAGGGACGGTTCCTACCCTGCTGGGGCTGCGATGTGTGTGGTGTGAAGAAGTGGACGGAAAGCTCCCTGCACACAGGAGCCCCCCAATGACAGGCGGTTTTATCATGAAAGGAGGGGGTACAGGGACACGTAGGGACACACACAGGAAAAGGGAGACAGAATGAACAGTGGAAAAGGACCAACAAAGAACATCTTATGCTGTGTCTTTGACCTTTCAAAGTGCGCGCTTGCGCGCTTGTGAGATACTGTGTTCTTCTCTGTGCTTCCGGTACCAGGGAAGGTGGTACTCCTGAAGCTGGCAGCTGCCAGTCCTTGACCCTATCCAGCTGTGCTCTCAGGGCTCTGTGACTTCTCCAGAACAATCTCTAAATTTCACATTGATGTTCAATGACCCCACCTTTAACTGCATCCACACGCGCCAGAGGACCTGAATGTCCACCTCTTCAGCGTGGGCTGCATACATCTGAGCTCCTGCATTTGGGTCTATGTGTAAAATCCTGCCTGTGCTCAGTGGAGGTCCAGGGACACCCCTGCGAGCTGAGGGAAGGGCCTGTGGTCCACACAGTGAACAGAGGGGGCCTGCCAGACGCAGGGCGGTCCGATCCACACGCACACGGTCAGCAGACCCGCCGCCCGGACCCTCTAAGTGTTGAAGATGAAGCCCATGATCTTAACCCAACAAAGCCCCCACATCAGCTAATGCCATGCTATGCCATTTACTCGGGAGAGCAGGCCTACTTAACTAAGTCAGCATGCAGAGAAGGCTCAAACAGAGAACTTACCTGAGTTTCAAGTTTTCTATCTACCAAACCCAACACCAGAGACTTAACAGAACAGCACGAATCCCCTCAAATGGAGGTTGCTAAACGGAAACCTTCCTGGTTTCACAGCTGTCTTTGTATATGACTTTGTAAAAAAGACCTTGGCTCCTCAGGCCACAGGCAGAAGAATTCTCCACCTCCCTTTCTGTTATACACGCAGTCAGGGCAGAAGAGAGCCCGCCTCATGTTCCTCACGGGCCCCCCTGCTTTCAGTGGTGCCCACACCTCGCCTGCGGCCCCGTTTCCTCTCTCACGCTCGGCGCTGTCCTGGGATGGTCTCATTCTCGCCCGTGGCTCTCATGCTCCCGCTAACTAAATCAGCATCGACAAGCTATGCTTCCCCGCCTCGCTCCGGGTCCGCATTGGCAAGTACCGGTCACCTCCACCTGGATGCCCTACGGCCACTCAAGACACAGCTGGAGCCCGGAGCGTCTTCTCGGACAGCTCTGCGCCTCGTTCCGGTTTCTGGTAACGACACAACCGTTCACGGGTGCCCACCACAGTCCTTCCTCTTCTTCGGCTACCCAACCAGATGGCTAACAGGTCTTCGGTCCCTCCCCTGCTGGACAGTCACGCTCACCTACATCGCTGCCACTTACGTGGACCAGATTGCCTGCCTCCAGCCCTTTCTTCTCTAGGCCTCCCCTCATGGTTGTCAGAGTGACTTAACAACAACAGCAACAAGAACCACCACCACCACATAAAGCCAATCTGGTCACACCCCAGGGCTCCTTCAGGGCTTCCTGATGGGTTTGGCTGTGCCTCTGCTTCTGCCTCTCTGAAAATGCATTAGTGGGGGCCTGAAGAAGTGGGGAGGGGGTGTCACAGAAGAAAGAGCCAGAGACAGGCTAGTGCCCGGTGCAGAGCTGTCAGGGTCTGCGTCTGGGCAGCTCCCGTGCCATTCCCCCAACCTGTCCCCCCACATGCTCACCCCCACCTCCAGGTAAGGTGGGGGGGTGTACCCGGCAGCAGGCTGAACCAAGCAGAAGAGCTGTCCACGCTCAGCTGTCCCAGACACTCCCTGCTCCCAGTGGTTCAGGGGCGTCCCTGGAGGGCTCTGGGCTTCCACTGCGGACAGCTGCCCGTGCATTTCTTCCCCCCTTCCTCTCTCCCTGCCCAGCATCTTCCTGGGAACGTTACTGAGCCTACTGCTTTATAACATGATGGCAATATTGTAAATTATTTACATTAATATAAACATATATTTCTGGACGGTGGTCACTGATTTTGTCTGGCTATCCTGCCAAAGTGTGGGCCCAGGAGTGCCCGATCCTGGCGCCCGGCTCAGAGCAGATACTCAGGACCTCCCTCACAAGTGAATGAATGGGCTTCTAAGACGCTGTGTGGCGTCTCTATGTTAGCATTTTTCCAACGGTGTAGTAATTCTGAATTTCCTGTCTTACCCACTTGAAACTGAGTTCCTAAGGGCATGGATGCTGTATACAGCGTTCTGTTGTCAATCCTGAAGGCCTAGCTGACAGCAAATGCCAAATCAAACAGAGAAAAATAAACAAAGAGGCCAGGAATGACGGACAGAGCAAGTGATCTGAAGAGAGAAGGCTAGAGGACAAAGAAGGGCCACGGTAAGGGGTGCTCATACGCCTGAGGAGCCAGCAGGCGGGGAGGGAAGGTGCTGGGGCAGGGGCGGGGAGGAGAGCTGGGATCCCTTACACACAGCTGATAACCAGCAGCAGCTTGGACACACTCTGCAGGTGGAAACTGTTAGGGCTGTCCTCGGGGATATGCCGCGTCTGCGTGGACCCTGTAGGGAGAATAAAGAGGCCATCACCACGGCGGCTCACGAGTCCCCCGGCTGCCGTGACAGCAGTCACGCACAGAGCTCCCGGGAATGACGGATACATCCAGCCCTCCGCAAGTACAAGGGAAGCCCCTCATGGGCAAGGTCAGGGGCTGGGTCAGGCGAAGTGGACATTCAAGTCACCGAACAAACAAGAAACTCAACAGCCTTACGGAGCCAGGACATGTGGAGGGGGGACAAAGTGCTCTGCAGCTTAGCCGTGACAAGTGCACTGGCTGGGACCAGAGACCGCTTTCAGCTCGGGCTTTGTCTGTAACCAGTGATGTGACGTTGAGCAAGTCTCAACTGCTCTCGGAGAGTCAGCGTATTCACATATGCCATGCTAGTCAGAAATCCTCTACGTGAGGGATGTAAGGGAGTGCTCTGGTTGAAGCTGGGGGCGGGGCGGGGAGGTGGGGGGGCGGGCACGGAAGGCTGGCACTCTCCTCCTCTCCTGTCCCCATCCTGAGGAACGCCCAGGGGTGTGCAAAGCATAGCCTGAAAGACGCTGGATTAGTCGTCTCTGAGGCTTCTTATGGCTATAGGTTGCCATGACCGAGCGAAGACATGAGGTTGTGTGTGGCTGGATGGGAAGAGGGAGACACGTCAAGGGAGTCCACCGCCTGGGAGGGCAGGTCCCTGATGGGCCTGTGGGGGCCACATGAGCTCGGACTCCCTGATGTTTGTGTCAGGAGGGCATCTCTGGCCTGAGCTATGGCTTCTCCCTGGTGCATTTGCCAAAAACTTGGAAGCTGCCCGTTTGAGTCTATCAAGGCGCACATGGAGTTCAGGGAACTTCTGTTCAGCAGACCCCAAATGTGGGTTCAGCAGTGACTGAGGAACATAAAGGGCAAAAGGAAACAGGCAGAGGATCCGGAGGCTGAATAATGAGTTAAGGGCAAATTATGTACGATCTATACCCAAGGACGCAAAATGAGCGCACACGCGGGTCTTGGCATGGGCATGCAGCTCGAGCCCCGAGCCCCGTCCCCACGGCCAGCCGGCACGCACCTGCCACGTGTTTGATCCTGTGGCCCACATCTTCATCGGTGGGTGTGGTGACGGGGCTCATCACCTCTTCCAGGTGAGGCACCCGCAGGTGGGCATGGGGACGTTTCCTCCTCCGTACCGTCGGGGCCTTGCTGGTCTTCTCTTTGGGAGACTGTCTGTGGATCTCAGCCAGGTAGGTGCTCTCCGTTTTGGTCAGCTCGCTCTCTGTCAGAGACAAAAGGCCACCTGCCTGTACCTCCAGCTCCACACACTGGCCCCCAGAAACAACTCTGTCTCCTAGCTGAGCCCCCTCTGAGAGAACCATTTTCCCGCACTGAACTCTGGGACGTTGACTGGGAGGGCAAGGGTCCCTCAGGGGCGGCCACGAGCCTCAGGAAGTACCACTGGGACGCGGCCTCACCCAAACCCCCCTTCTGGGTTTTGCTCAGCATCGTGCAGAGACATAGGTTCCCTACCCTCATGTAGACAGTTGGGGGCACGTCACAGGTCCTAATGGACGCATTCACAGGCTCATCCTTCCTTTCTGAAACTGAATTACCACCGGTGTGATGAAATGTGGAGGTCATGCGCCGGGGGTGGGGGGTGGGGGGTGGCCACAGACCCCATGAAAGTTACAGGCATAGCCTCTTGGAAAACGCACGTGTTCACAGACCTGCCAAATTCTGTATCCATTTCTGGGGCCACCTCAGGGCCCTCATGACACCCCTTCACCATCTCGGTGTGGCCCCCATTTCTGTGCTTCCCACTCCCCTGAATGGTGGCAGCTTTGCGGCCGAGCCGGGGTCTGCGGCCTTGCTCACCTAGGTGGCGGAAGTAGTCCTCCAGCCCACTCCAGAAATTCTTCTCGATGAAAGTTTTCACCAACCCCCATGGCTGTTTGCGGTAGCGCAGCTCTGTGGAGACCCTGAGGAGCAAGCCAGAAACGAGATCAGCCATTTCCGGGGCAGACCCTCCTCTGCTGGGAAAGGCCCTTCACACCACACCCACTGTGCCATCTGATCTCCCTGGCCACTTCTGGAGGTCAGTGGGACCGGCGGACTGATCCTCATTTTGTAGGTGAGAAAACAGGAGTTCTAGAATAGTCCAGCAGACCAAAGGCTACCACACAGGGCTCCTGACTCCGGGCCCATAGTTCTTTCATGAGGCCGCGGCGCCTCCTCCAGATGGTGCCAGGCAGCCAGCCGGCCGTGGGGGTCCTTCTCTTCTTCTGCAGAGACTTGCAAGTCCAGATCAGGCTCTAGGGTTCCGTCATTGCCACTTTTAGGGGAGTGATCTGCCACCGGCCGGGGCTCCTGCCTCTCCACCCCACGAGACCTCGCCAGTTCTCACTTTTTTCCCAGTATTCTCTCCCCCAGTCACAGGTCTCTCTGCTGCCCGTGCTGCCTGCTTACCAGCCCCTTCCTCCCCTCCACTGCAGCGCCCGGCTTATGCTCCCGTTCTTAAGGCTGCCTACCCTCCTCTCCCTGCCGTCCTCGGGGACACTGCGGCCTGATGTGAGCAAACTGATGCTTGCGCGTCACCTCACCACCACCCTCCACACCGCCACCCAGCAAGTGTTCACGGGATTACAGGTGGGTGCCTTTCTGGAGAGGTTTGTCTGAGGTCAACAGGCTACTTCTGGGTGAACTGGGGAACGAAAGGACATCTACTCAGAAGACTCTCCAAAGAAGCTGGAAGTCAGAAGTCTAGACAGTGTGGGGAAGGATGGGGGGGGCAGGAGGGAGGAGAGAGGACTGAGGGAAATGGAAGGACGGAAGGAGGCATAGATACTCAGCAGCATAGGTACCAAAAATATATATATATGTATTTTCTTTTTTTTTCCTTTTTTTAAAGATTTTATTTATTTGAGAGAGAGAAGGAGATAGAGAGAGAGAGCATGAGAGGGGGGAGGGTCAGAGGGAGA